TGGTGCATGCCTGGGACAGGGACTACAACCAAAGATAGCGACGCTTTCTGCCTCCTCTGCGCACTGTGGAGGGTTGATTTTCTCCAAAAGCTTCCTCTTCTCAAAGGGGCTGGCCTTGTCAGCCCGTCCCCACCCCGGCCTGACTTGCTCTGTGCTGGGGGAAGAGCCAAGCGACACAGGCAAGCGTTTCTTGGCAGGGCCAGACCACACTCCGCTGCTTCCTGCTCCGGCTGACGTCAGGCCCCTGCCCCAAATGCAAATCAGATTTTCCTTTCCATGAGTGCTTATTGCTCCAGACTGGTTGCCAAATTACAGTTTTCACGTGATGGAGGTGAAAGACGCTTTCCTGCGTGTTCCGCACAGCTGGCATCGCTGACGGGCCGTGCACCAGCTGCCTACAGACAGCGAGACGTGCGTAGGTCAGGAGCGGTGCCCGCACAGCCAGATCGCCGGCTGAGCCCAGACTCTGGACGTGTCTCCAGGGCAGCCAGCTGCTGGTTCGTTCACCCATGCGTGTATAAGTATGTGTGTTTAAGCACAGACCCCCCCAAGAGACACAAACCACACTCCCCACCCTGTTGGGTGCTGTATGACTGGGAGGTGAGAAAGTTTCAAACATCTTACACGATCTACGAAAGAAATGCGTACCAGCAGAGAGGGCAGTAAAAAGCACTGCCAGCTAATACTGAGCAGGGATCCCGCTGCCATGCTCTGACTGTTGCCAGCGTTTGGGATTTCACTTACCTGTGATATGGCAGCAGGTGCGGGGAGTGAGAAGTAAAAGCCCATCAAAAGTGGTCATATGGCCAGGTCTCACTAGTCGAGGATTAAGTTTAAAATATGTTCTTAAAGGCAAGAATTTATCTAAACTTGTAGTTTTTATCTTTTTTTATTTAACCTGCTTTTGATTAAAATTTATAATTAATTAATTTGCCAGTGTACTTGCTACGAATACTTCTGGCAAAATGATCTACTTGGAGAGCTCTACCTCTGCCATCATATGGGACAGTTTAGAATACAAAATTGTAACCCATTCCTCTCTCTGTTCTTTTTGTTCATATTTAGCCCCAGGTCTTCTGTATCAACTGCAAACAGTACTGTAAGTTTTGAGAGCTTTAATTTGCTGTTCTTTTGTAATCATCATAATCTGCATCCTTTACAGTACAGCTAACTCTTGTATTCAGTATCAAGATTTCAAACTTTGGCAGTTTTCTATACTTCTTGCCTCAGAAATCATGAACCTTTCTAGTACCATTAATGTAACAATTAATTTTTTACCCCCACTGTGGAAAGGAAAAGCTGAAAAATGTAGCTATGAGGTCAAGACAGAAAAAAAATTAAACAAAAATATCCAAAGTGTATTATTACTTAAAATACCACAATTCAGAGATTGCCTTGGGACCTAGCTGTTTCAGGAGTAGTATTATTTCAACAATAATAGCTAAATTTAGGGGATTTTCCCCTCCCTTTTCCCTGCTTACTGTCCCTCTGACACATATGTAAATTCTCTGGCATGGGAAGACAACCGGAGCATCTCTGAAAGTCACGCAAGATGGGATTGAAATTTGTGTTGCAAACAATTGGATAACAGCTGGAAAAAAGGTCCCTTCTTTCCCTTGGGTACTAAAAAAACCTGCAAAACCTTTTGGCGTATTTGCCTCATGGGAAAACGAGGGGAAACAAATGCATCTAACTGTGCATATGGCTTCAGTTCGCACTAAACATTATATGTTGTAAAAGGTTTTGCAAGGGAACTGAAATTTACTTTTTCAGACTGAGGCTGGAGCGATCCTCTATATTCTGTGGTTCAGCCTTCACTTTCAAGTAACAAGGTATTAGGCAGGGCTCTGTACTGCTGCGTGCTCTCCTTGAGCCCTTGGACACTAATCAAATGTCAGAATAATTGATTATTTCTCTGGTGTTTGTCACCTTCAGCTGTGACCAGCCACTTCCTGCAGCAGCGCGTTCCTGCTGCACCGCACTCGGCAGTTGTGTCGAGCTGGAGCTTTCGGTTCTGGTCCTGACCTCTCATACTCCTCTTACTGCTGCTCCAGTGACTGTCAAATGAGACAGCGCTGAGTCTGACTGAAAACTACCCAAATTGTTAATGTAGCTGTCACAAGTACATGTGAATTGTCACCCCTTACTAATCTAGCTGAGTAACTAGTAGCAGGCTCCATTTTCCAGTGTTCACGTCCTGGAGCCAGCTGGGGTTTCTCTAGGCTTTTTTTATTCTGACCCAAAGGAGTACTCCAGACAGAAGAAATAGACCTTCTTGCAAATGTTGAGCATTTATCCAGAAGTTTACCTATCTATAACATCTGGGTTTGTTGTTTATTATTTTAAAACTTATTTTATCAATAGGAGTTCTTTAATGACCAAAAATTTGTAGTATAGTGTCTATGCACCTGCTTTGGCAATTCTAACTGAACAGGCTTTTCTATCAATTACCTCCTTACACCTGTCAGTGCCCTGCACTTTGAATAAACACTCAAGCCATGGGCTTGGCTGAAGAATGAAAACCAAATTATATCGGAAATACTACGAGCTATTGCATTCCAATGACAATATGTAATCAAATTGGTTTTATGCTAGACTGCCTCTAAAAAAGATACACAGCTGGGCTGATGTTATTACAGAACTAGTCCATGGTAGGGTCTTGTGAGCATTTGATGACTGGACTCTCAGGACTAGCCCAGCTACATGAAGGTGTTATTTAACGTGCTCACCATCGCTGCCATGCTGGTTAAAAAGCCACGACAGAACCAGCAAGACCTGGAATGGTACTGTCAGACTGTGGCAAAAGGATCAAATGCAAGATCACGTGTGGCTTGGTGGTCTTTGAGAACAAAACCTTGTCAGCCATTTGTGAGAGATGTTTTTAAGCACTTCTCATCTTAGAGAGGAAGTTGCTATGTTTTTAAACCTGATGTATGGAAAAAAAAAAAAAGGTATTTCATGATTTGTCAACAGGAAAATCAACACCTAGTTAATTTTAGCTCTCACGTACCATCTAAGTAGTTACAGAATTCCTATCACAAGAAAACGTATCCACACTGTGAGAAAACAGCTGTGGGAGGAACAGGGGAGGCAGCTGCGTGAACAGGGTTCTGCATCAGACTCTGTATTTGTGTTCAGTCCCTTCCTCTCCCAGATTTCTTGCATAACTCTGGAAAACTCAGTTTCATCTGCAAAATGGAAGCAGAATTTCCTTTGTTAGCTTGTCTAGGGAAAGTATAAAATTTCAAGCATGGATTGCCTCTTGCTATACATTAAGCAAGAGGCAAAAATTATTTTAAAAATAAAGTTCTTCCTACTCTTGGCGGCTGTGCAAAGAGTAGTCAGCTACTGTTGGCAGAATGAAATGACAGTATAAAGGTGTGAAGCTAGATCCAAATAATGTACTTTGGTACTAAAAATCAGTGGCTACAATGCCTAACTTATAGCCACCAGCACTGTGAAGTTATCTGACAGAAAGAGTAAAAAAGTTAGCATGGATTTACATTTTTATGACAAAGATCAATTTATACACTTAAAATATGTAAGAAAAACAAGTTACAAAAAGGGGAGACATTTCATACTTACAGAATACATTGATATTCTCAGTTTCACAGCTGTGTTTCTTATAATGTATAATTGGAAAGAAATATATACCACAGAAATAACCTGCTGTCATCTCCTATCAGCCTGCTTCTGACATTGAGCAGCACTACAGCTATTACCTGGGGAGAATTCACACATCTGCTAAAAGCCATGCTGCTTTCACTTATGTGTGTCCATCCACACAAATACACTTTCTAACTGAGGTATGGGCCGGACAGAATATAGGTGAAGAAACGTTTTCTCTGCTTATCTAGCCTGGAAATCTGTGTGTGAGCTGGATCCAGCAACAGGCCTGTACGAGCTGACACAGTCTGCTGCCTCTTCCCTAGGAGACAACAGCAGCTTCAGTGGCCCACGCTCCCCGAAAAGGCCTCCCACGACGACCCGAACCACTGCATCATGATGGGAAAAGGTGGAACTCGCAGCATCCACTGTCTAGGAATGCCACCCAATGCGCCTGTACAGGCAGCTGGGGAGGCAGCTTCGGAGGAGGATAAAGGTGTCCCAAAACTAGGATCCGGTTGGTATGGCTGACTAGGTTGGGTCACCTTGAGATCAGCTGGGCGAGAACCCAAACATGAAGGACAAATAAGGCATTCAGGGTACGATCAAAAAGGCATCAGTCTCAGAGTGGAGATGACATGGGTTTACAAACGCAGAGGTAAGAGGCAGAAAAAACCCCACGCATTTACGCATGTCATCTTTCCACCAACAGAACGTGTCAGGTCAGGTCCTCAGAAGGTGGGGATGGAAACCCTCACATGCACAAACACCCCCCACGCTTTGTGATTCACTGGCAAACCTAGGCTAAGTATCAGAGAGTGAAATTCCATCAAAAACAAATTATTCAAGCAAAACTGGTGTTGGTCTGCCCTTATAATTGTTAGAGTCTGGATTAAATTAATCCTCGGTGTAATTAACTTTCTAATACAAATAAAGTTGATCTACATGCAGATCCTCCAAAGAAATGACCCGATGTTATGTCCCTATGCAGTGTTCCAAGACAGTCCAAATAAAACCTCTCTGAGCTTCACCCGCACAAGGCCCCTAGAGTTATCAGTTTGCAATATGCAGAACAAGAAACAGAACTGAACCATCGGGAACCTGGCGTACTTGGACATGCTGTTTCGTCTTTTGGATCTGACTTACCATCACAACAAGTTCTCAACAATTTAACTGAGCTTACATTTCAGAACTTAAAATACAGGCAGTAGTTCTTGGCATATTTGGCAGTGACCAGCCCTGCTTAAACTCAGTGGTTTGGTATTTAAAGAGTCTGAAGTCAGTAATCACGCTATTCCAGGATTCCGTTCTTCAACGTTTCACTTC